TGGGGGAAAGGGGGAAGGGGAAGGGGGGACCAGCAGCTGCAGGAGCCGGGAATGTCGGGAAAGGGGGCACACGACAGGACACCAGCCCCAAGCATCCCGGAGCAGGGGGACACCGTGGCACCCATATGCTGCGTGACACCCACCCGCTGGCTCCAGCTGTGATCTGACCTGCACCTGGGTCCTGGAAGGCTTCATCTTGCGGGAAAAACAGCAGCAGGGCAGCAGAAAGAACTTTGTCCCAAGCCCACGTCAGCAGGCAGCCCGCGGGCACCCGGGCCGAGGCAAATGAGAGGCTTTGGAAGCTCCGTGGCCAGCGGCGAGGGGGAGCGTGCCGGAAACCACAGCTGGAGCCAGGGGGTGGGAAGGGGCCAACGGGCCCAACCCTGCCAGCACGGGCAGGCCCAGGGATCAGCACATGCCAGGGCCTCACCAGCCCTGCCCAGCCAGCAGCAAATTAATGGTTACAAGCAAACGCCTGCCTCGGCACACACACAAAGTGGCTTTGTGAAAAAGATGCTGGCAAGGCACCCATGGGCTGCTTTCCCAATGATGCCCAAGCACGGCAGCGTTCAGAGTCCACGCGTGGCTGGCGGCTCCTCCTGGAGGGCTGTAATTAGCCCTGCATCCATCCTGCTCCCAGGAGCAGCTGAGCACACAGCACTTCGGAGACTGGAACCCAGCCATAGCAAAACTGCTCTGGGGACAGGAGCCAGGCGCATCAAGCACCTCCTGCAGACCCAAGCTTCGCTGCCACCTTTGGAAGGAGCCACAGAGAGTGTGGCTGCCTAGCAGGCAGAGGAAAGCCGGAAGGACAGCTGGGTGATGGAGACATGGCAGGGACCCAATGCTCCTCAGGACCATTGACACCTTTCCCGAAGGCCATGGGGTGTAAGAAGGAGATCGCATGGCCGTGACTTTCCCAGCTCAATCCTGCCCCACCTCTGCCTGCAGGCGACTTGCACCCTGCCTGTCTAATCAACCAGGCTGAGATCTGGAAGGGCTAGGAGAGGGGAGCATTCGCCAGCCTGGGGCCAGCAGACCACAGCCTGGAGCTCAGCACAGGCCCGAGCACTCAGATAACCCCCTGCTTCCAGACACCCAGCTAAGGGCCACCCCGCAGCAGCATCCACACCGTTCCCCGCATCTCCCTCCTCAGGCTCCTCCAAGCCCTTGGTCATCTTCATGCTGCACCACAGGTTCATCCCAGCTGGCCTCCCTGGGACTGGGGTACCAGCAGGCAGCTGAGGAGGGAACCGCATGTATGCCTACAGGAAGGAGATGGGGGCAGAGGCTCCCTGGCAGCTCCCAGCCCAGCCAACACAGCAATGGTCCCAGCAAGGGGGCTGCAGGGACTTGCTCATATCCCCCCAGCCTCCTTCTTCCAGGATCCCCAGGGACATCACACACTGCTGCCAAAGTCTCAAAGTCTTGCTGGGAGAAAGGAGGAGAAGCAGCCCAGAGTAGAAGGCTGGGGAAAGCAGAGGAACAGGGAGGAAGCAGTCGGAGAGCCAGTTTTCCCTTATAT